ACCCCCAAAAACCCCGCCCCCCCCCCTTTAGCCACAGGAACGCGGCCATCTATAGCCACATGGCTACCAGCCTGGCCACCAGAGGCCACATGTGGACCCGGGAGCAGGTCCGCAGCAAGGTCAAGGACCTGTGGCAGTCCTACTCCAGAGCCTCCCAGCCAGGGGCCGACCCGGAGGCCTGCCCCCACTTTGAGGCCCTGGACCACATCCTGGAGGCTCATGCCGTCCATTCCCCCCCGGGTGGTGATTGACCCCGGGCCAGAGGGCCCCATCCCTGACACCAAGGAGGAGGAGGAAGATGCCGAGAGCCGGGAGCCTGCAGGGAGCCTGCCCAGGAACCAGGATCCCCAAGGCACCCCACAGAGCACATTGGCTGTGTCGTCTGAGGCTGAGGAGGACTCCACATGTGAGTGCCATCATGCTCCCCTTATGTGTATGGGGGGTGGGGGTGGGAAGAGAGGAAGCCCAGGGTCCATGCGTCTGTGCCTTGCCCACCATGGAGCAGCAGCTGGATGTCATGCGGGGGCCCTGGCCCATTCCCCACACGCTGACCTCGCCTTGAAGAGCGGGGCTGGGTTTCACCAACTGTGTCCCCAGGGAGAACTGACCACTGCTCTTGTTTCACCACAGCCGCAGCACCTGGGAGTGCAGGGTGCACCACCCCATCTGGAACAGCCACCCGCACCCGGGCCAGCAGGCGCACTCGCAACCTCAAGGACTACCAGTGGCAACATCTGCAGCTTCTGGAGCACAAGCTCCGCACTCAGAACCTCTGGGTCCAGGAGGACCTGTGGCTGTGGCAGCGGAACTTGAAGGCACTGGAGGTGCAGGGCCATGCCCTCAGAGGCCACCTCCAGACTCTGGTGGACAGGTTCCTGCCTTCTCCTGCTCCGGCCCCTGTGGCCGCCCCAGCTCTCGCTCCTCCTCACACCTCTGCTCCCCCTCCTGCTTCCTCTGCACCCCTCCTGCCCCACCCTCTACACCCACTCCCCCCCACCACGCCCACACCTGCAGTGCTGCAAGAAAGGAGAGCCAAGAGAA